CCCCTCAGAGGAACTGAGATGGCAGCAGCATCTCCATCAATCTCCCCAGTTTCAGATATGATAAAACCCTATTTGAAGTTATTCAGTCTATCATATGAGAATTCAGGTCTCCTGTTTCTAAAGCAACAAGGTAATGGTCTGCTCAGCGGGAATTTCTTCTTCCCATCTCTCTCTCCCAGGAATCTTTTTGGTAGCTAAAATTCATATACCCAGAAGAGTGACTTCTTAATCGTTTCATATCATGGATACACCAGGGAGGAACCATTTTGTCAAACCTAGTCTCACAAATATATTTTTTGTTCCCTACTTCTTCACATCACCTCCACATGACTCTGTTTAACTTGAAACAAATACTATTTAATTAAGCATTTTTCTGATCTCTTGCATAACCTCATACAAAGTATTTATTGTAATTCACAGAATCTGAGAAAGACATGCCAGATGATTTCAGTTATCCTAATTAGGGAAGATGGTCCCTAAGTAATGAATAGCAGGGACACAGCCACACCAACCCAGGGACATTTTAATTAAAAAGCAAAGTAATTTGATACCAATAGGAGACAGCATGACCTAATCCAACCTGATATGCATGTCACATATCAAAATTCAAAGTTATAACCACAAAAACCCACACAGTTTAGATACAATCTGTAAATAGAGAGTTGGTCAGAGCACTGACCAAACTACAGTTTACACCTGGTGCACAGTTTACAAAACAGGGTGTAAGTGTTCATCTTGTTACTCAGCTGCATCTAGTCTTTGCTGTTAATCACGAAAATGTGTTTACTTTTCAACATGATCTCTGTGTGACATGGGAAAGGAGAAAAGAGATGAGGCAGATAATTCTGCAGCCTGCAACGAGAGAAACAAGGGAGGAAAAGACATTAGGTGAAATTGAGTTTGCAAGTTTAACTGTGACCAGGTAAGATTAAGGTTAGAGCCAAAGGCAGAAGAGAAGAGCATTTGCTGCAGTCACACTGCACAGGGCCACGACTGCAAGGCAGCTCACACAGGAATTGCCCCGAGCTCCTTGCCAGCCATGCAGCACACTACAGCACATTGTGCCAGCAGTTACACCTCAGCTCACACCACTGACACATCCAGCTGGTCTTGGGGAAAGTAAAAGAAAAAAGCCTTTTCAGAGGTTCTGTGAGTGCCCCTACAGCAATGCACCCACAAGGATGCAGTTGGATGCCTTTAACAAGCACTTTGACTGGCAGAAAATACAACTCAAAACTATGGCCTGGAAAACCACTGTACCTAATCCTGTACAGCAGCACAGGGACTCAATCAGGAATGGGCTCAGGGCTGCTCCCCTGAAACCTCCTGAGGCATATAGTGAACAGCTGAGCATCCCATGATGTTCCTTGTTGCACACCAAGTGAACAGACTGGAGGGGGCTGCGTGTTCAGCCTCACACTCCAGCCATGTGCTCTCCTCCCCCTCAAAACTGCAGCAAACACAGCACAACACCTGCACCTGACACAGGAGACCCAAAGGGAAGAAAGCACAGCAAGGGAGAGCTGCAGGATCTGTCCTGCCTCAACTCTTCCTTATCACACACGCTCAAGACTCCCTTTCCTCAGCAGATGAAGCCTTGAGCATCTGCAGACAGAGTAGAGAAATATGTGTACATAGCAGTCATATTTTATTCTCTTTATACAGCTCTGGCCAAGAATTTCAGCAAGTCTCTAATTTCAGGTATCTGGGCCTCTAGTTTCTGAAAACATGAAATGGCACTGGGGCTAATAAAGTCTGCTTGGACTGATGTGATAATTTAACACTAATGAAAAAAGCCCAAGCAAGCAAGTACTCCACACATGGACCACAGATGGTTAAAGCTGACCGACAGACTTGTTGTAAGAAGCTATGGACACACTAAAGAAAACTAACATAGGATGCTGTTGCAGAAAATGTGAGGACAAACCAAATGAGGAGACACAAGAACAGAGTCAAGCCTTCCCCACAGAGCCATGGGAGTGAAAACAAACCAGGAACAGCAGCTACTTTGGGAAACTTGAAATCATTATGTCATGACAGAGAGCTTAAACGAGAGGATCTTGAAAAGTCCATTTCAACAAAAATCATTCTGTGATTCAGTTCCTGCAACAAAATCATTACATGATACAGAACAGTTCAAGTTGAGCATGTGTGTATCACCTCTGAATTGTTTTAATTGTTTAAAAGCCAACATCAAAAAGAACAAATACCTCAATTGGAAAAAAAAAAAGTATTTTGGTAATCAGAGAGCATATTGACACATCTCTAAAGACTTTTTCCTGTTTGAAGATTGAAAAGCCTTTAACTTGGCTATTCAACTTAATATAGTCTACGGCAAAACATCACTGAAATGAGTCCTCTGAGTTTGAGAAATTCTGTTTCATAGGAAATCAACTTTTTCTACTTTCTCTGTCCTGTTCAACTACATTTCTGTATAATTTCTAATTTTGCCATTTTTAATCTGGCTGGTATCATGCTCAGCCAAATACATTCAGCACATGTATATGTGAAAGGCTCTCCTGCATGACCTGAAGTGAAATATCTCTCCAATAAAAAATATCTCCATGTCAGTTTAATGCTATACAAACATCTCCATTAATTTTTATAGTCCTTACTCAGCACATTGTTCAATGTCAGTGCTGGATGCAGGAATCTAGGATCAGCATGATGTAGACAAATTAACAGCTACCAAAGAAATGTAATCTCTTTCTGCAGCTAATGATAAAGCCCATCAATTCAGTAAGACACAGTATACACTTTAAACCTAGTAATATTTCACAGTTTCATTTGTCTTGTGTTTCAGCAACTATGATAAACTTTCATAGGCTCTGCAAAGAAGAAGATAAATGTTCTATCCATGACTGACTGACTCCACAGTAACTGAATAATTTATGCAATACACAATAATGTTTTCTTTTACAATAAATAGTAATTACTAAAGTATCACATTCCATCTGTTCCAGAGCTGTTTGTCAGTGACTATAACACTCAAGACAATCCAGAATTCTGCATGGCAGAACTGTTTACCTACCTCTACCTACCCCTATCACTCTGTCAATGCTGATGACCTACTTTTCAAGCAAATAAGGCATAGATTATCACATTGTACCTGTCCTGCCACCTTCTAAAACACATTTGAACCTATGGGTTCATTATTTGAATGAAACATGAAGACAGCACCAAAGGCTCTCAGACAAAATGTAAGTTGCAACATCTCTAGAAATATCTTCTTGGAAAGGAGACCTGCAAAACTAGAAAAGTAAAATCAAAACATTAAAATCTTGGGTCTCGTTTACCACTTAAAGACAAGATAAATAAAACCACAGTGCTCAGCTGGCTGGGGCAAGGAGTCCTAGCACATATTGCTTGCAGTGGCAAATAAAATTCTTTAACAGTCAGGGCTCTTCCCTCACTGCTGGGTAGGGTTACATCAGGAAACTGTCACAGATCACTAGTCATATTTCCACACATATCAGGCTGCCTAATAATAGATCCATTTCCATTGCAAGGGTGTGCTACATACCACCTAATCATTTGCATTGATTCCAGCTGCGTTTTTTCAGACCAATCACTAATTTAACATCAGTTTCATATTTAAAGAACTAAGAATGTATTTTTGGCAGGAAGTGAGCTTTTAAAAGATGAATCTGAAGGCATGCATGCCCTGATCATACCCAGGATATCCCCACAGTTTCTTTACGTTGTGTAAAACATGGTATTACTTTTATATATATATGTGGTGAAATATGACTACAGCTGCCATAAAAGCACATAAAATGGGTGCAAATCCAAATCAGATACCCATTACTCCAATTGCATGGCTACCCAGAATACTCAATATTCTTTCCACATGCACTGAATAAGCAAACCAGGAACAAAAGCCACACTGTAGTTACACTCAGCTGACAAATGGAAGGGAAAATAAATAAAGAGGCAACTAACTGCATCTTTGTCATGCTTTAATACAAACTAACATAAGTGAATCCCAGAAAGTCAGCAAAAACTGTTTGAAGCCAAGCTGGATTTTCCTGCCCTGGACCAGATGAGGGAACATTACCTGCATGTAGGTCTGCCCCACTCAGATGCGGCATCCCTCTTGTTTAATGAGGTGTGCAAACACAGTAACTGTGCACAGCACTTGGACAACAGAGCCTGCTCCTTACATGCCTGCCTTTTACCTTGAGAGTTATTAATGAGCCAGAACCATATCAGACACTTGAAGCCCACAGCACTGCTGAGAACTACTCAGGCATTTGCCGGCTGTAACTCAGGACTCAGAGCTTCCACCTCACCCAAGCCTCGCAACATGCTCCACAAAATATCAAACCTGCAGCGAGAAGCCAAAGCACACAGGCCAGGCCACCCATGGATAGATTTGTCACTGCTACACAGGAGCAACCAGACAGAGCCTTGGCATGAGAGCAGCTCTGTAAGCAAAAGCCATTGCACAGGGCACACAGGGCAGGGCAGAGCCCGCAGAGTCATCCTGCCTTTGCTGGAGCACCTGCCTGGCTCAGGAAAGGCTTCATCACCACACGGTGTTCCCCCAGCCCTGCCAGCAACACCCAACACGAACGCAGGGGTAGCCTGCAGCTAGAGAGACAAGAGTCTCAAGGGCTCTCCCTAACTGACTCGTTTGGTGTTCAAGTATTGCAACTCTTTCCCCATCAGCTTTCCCTGAACCTCTTCTGCTAGCCCTCCTCTATGCTTTTTCTTGCTCTCTGTTACTGCCTTTTCTCCTTGCTATATCCATTCTAAAAAAGGACAGCAGAGATGACACTGCTGTCACAATTTCCCCTTGTTACTCATGTCTACCTATTAAGCTACTATTAAGCTTTCTGCAGCAGTTTCAATCTACTGAACTGTGGTTGTGTAACAAGAGAGGCCCCCAGGACCACCAGAATTTGGGTGCCTTGCTTAGAAACACTCACCTGTGGGCATCACTGAGCATCTCTCCAACGTTGATGAAAAGAGTATCAACTTGCACAACCAAGTCAGCATTTTCTTTCACGGTTTCAACAATCACATTTATTCCTTGGTTTTAAAAGGTTTTGGTTCAACAGTTTTATAAAGAGGCTTCACAAAATGTGCAGTATTTATAAACATGGTTCTTAGTCGCAGTGGTAATAAGAATCTTTACTTTCATCATAAAGTTCACTTCAGTTATGCAACACAAGGTTGATTTTGTTTCCCCTCTTCTCCCTCCTACAATTGGCACTTAATCATAAATTGAAGAAACTTTAAAAAGACAAAAAAGTTAATCTAAGCATGAAGTTAAAAGCACCTTGCCACAGTATTACATTTTAATAAGGCAAATTCTTGTTTTGTAAAGCCTAATTGTGCAACCTGGAGACCTATGGAAGGAGGCAGAAACGCCAGCTTTCTATAAAGAACAGGCCTTCATTTTTGCTTCAAAGTGTTCACCCCTCCATACCAACCCCCCTTAAAAAAAATACAGCTGATAATACAGCAGAACATCCCCTTTACAGGGAGAAAAGAAATTACAGTAGACAAAGGCTGAAAACACGGTGCATAGTACACAAAATAGGACTGTTTTTAAAAATAACATTAAAAAAAAAAAGAAGAAATAGAAGAAGAAAAAGAAACTGAACAATAAGCAACAATGGAATTTTTCTAGTGGAAAGAGGATTTGTGGGCTTCATAAATAAGTGGAAAATTACTAAAATACTTTGCTATATAATATAAAAAGGCGCAAAGTGTTTTCCAGTTGTCACCTAAGCGTTAGATGCAACTTTGTAGGAGTAAGTGTTTGGAGGCAGCTTGGAGCTCTGATTGGTGCAGGCATTCCAGCAGGGCAGTGCTGCCAACAGCAGGAGAAATCCCCCCAGCAGGACACAAGAGCCACTGAAGTAGAAAGCAGTGTCGTACTCCTGCGTCCAGTCGTAAAACCAGCCTGAGTGTGGGATAAGAGAGAAGCTCATCAGGGAAATGTAACACAGCAGTGGTCACAGAAAAAAACAACAGTTAAAAAACACTCAAACAACAAAATAAAATAAAACGTAATAGGCCAAACCTAAAATACTGTTTGACCTTTTGTGTTTTCCCTCAAAGACAAATTACAGACATAATCAGCCAAACAGCTTTTAATTTTTGTTGCAGATTTTGATTTCACCTTTCCATTACTATTAGAAGTGCAGAAGCATTTTGTCTGGTTGTAACAAGCTGATGTTCAGTTTATAGCTATGCCTTACCTACAATTGGTGGTCCAAGGCTGTTCCCAAGTCCAGCAAAGAACATCAATATCCCATAGGCATGAGTCAGTTTCTCAATCCCCACAGTCTTTGTTGTTACATACGGAAAAATCGACCAGTTCCCAGTCAGAAAACCCAAAATCCCAGAAAGCATTGCTAATGTAAGGTAACTTTTGGCGAATGGAATTGCAAACAAGGCCATTCCTGTCATTAATAAGGTAGTTACATAGAGATATAACGTGTTAACCCACTTAAAATCTGCCAGTATTCCTAAAATAAGTTTGCCAACAGTCGTCATAATGCCGATAATGGAAATAAGGGGCATATAATAGTCATCTTCACTAATATTTGCACTTCTTGCTACATCTTCCATGAGCAGAGAAGGAGGAAATCCACCAATATCAAAGAGCAAGATGGCAACAAAGAGAGCCGAAAACACTTTGTTCTTGAAAAGAACCATGGTCTCCTTCCAGTAGGTCAAATAGAGCTGCCACTTCCTTTTGGCGAGTTGCTTGCAGAAGTTTGTCTGTTCTACAACTTTCTTTTTGTAAGTGTCTTTCTCATTTACATTTATTGAGCTCAATGCATTCTTATTCAAAATGTTATCCTGTTTGCAATCAGGCCCATTGTTCACACATTTTTCATCAATATAGCCCTTTTCAAGGATGCTAATGTTTTCTTCAATGGTCTTTTCCTTTTCATGGTAAACAAAATATTGATCTGGGACTTTGTCTACAAACATTTTCTCTGGTGGAGGAGAACTGGATGATTCCAAAGGCCTCATTAGGCTGCCACATGCTAATATATTTAGAGACAGGGCACCAACTATTAGCAGACACCCATCCAGTCCATACAGCTCAATAAGCTCTCTTTGCAGTGCTGCATATATAAAGAGTCCAACACTTGAGCCTATAAAAGAAAAATAAGTTTGGTTTAAACTGAAGAACCAAGACCATTCTTCAACCCTAACAAAATTCCACAATTCAGCAGCTATGAATACAGTGCTACAGGAATGGTAATTAATTTGTGCTCCTCTCTCCCACATTTAATGAACTGGTAAATCATCAATCTCCTGAAGTTACACCTTCTTTGTTGAGTAGCCACAACATAAAAAAAGTCTCCCAAGATATCTGAACACTTTGTGACAAACTATGCTAGCAGACACTTTATAAACAAGTAGGATCAATACTATATCTGATTAAAAACATCAAAGAACTATTAAGCCACCCTACTGCCCTGCACTCATATACATGTATCCCTTCAGGTACCGTTTTGAGTTAGCACAGTCAGAATTTCCCACTCCAACATTCTCCCCTTTCTTTGCTTTGCTGCCACCTTCCTCCTCCCAGGCAGAAATGAGCCAGGAGTTCTCCAAGACCCCTCCTAGAAGCAGCCCTTGACTGCCTGGTGTTTAAGGAGCAGGGTTTGCCTAGTGGGAGTTTACTCCAAAAGCATTTATGAAGCTCTACAGGACTAAACATGCATTTGAGAAATGTGGCTGTTCAGAAGAAAACACTGAAGAGTGAGGGATTACTAGGAGCACAAGCATTTAATGCAATCCCAGTCATTTAAAGGAAAGGCTCTTGGTTGAATTGAGCACATATCCATTTTAACCAGTGGATGTCCTCTAACAAACACAGAACATTGGTTTTCAAGTCAGTTTATATGACAAACTTTAAATTATTCGCTGAGGACTGTCTGGTGCTAAACAGAGGAAAAATCAATTACAAAATCCATGCTTGTTTTGCCTTCCAGGTACTAAAATTAACCAGGGCACAATAAGATCAGGCTTTAAGGCAACCTACCTGGAATCCAAAACAAAGCCACTGTAAATGATCCCCAGAAACATTTCTGCAGAAGCTGCTCTTCACTCAGCTTGTGTGAATGTGGTATTAGTATCTCACACCACTGACTATACTGATCCTGTGTCTCCTCACTGACAGCTACTCGAGAAAAGAGGTCAGAGCAGACACTCCATGGCACACAGAAAGCAAGGCATGGCACAGGAGACATCTGTAACCATTCCTACTCGGGCCACTAAAAAATGTAGAGGTACAGCTAATGTGAGGTAGTGGTGATGCAGCATTTATATCCTGCATCTCCAATCTCTTTCTCATCTCTGATCCTGGGTAAGAACAAAGAGGAAAAAGAGTATTCCATGGAATGTTTCCCCTCATTATCCATGGCACACAGCCCAAGCTACATGAGTCTACTTTCACTCCAGTGAATATCCTCTCCTCATCTATATTGATGGCCCATAGCATAAACCTGCAGGTGTAGTTACTATTTTATCTGAAGCCCGAGTTTTTCCTATTCATTGCTACTGATATATTGATTTAAGAAAGTAGTAACTTTCTTAAGTAACGGAGAAGAACATAATCTTCTGGGTTTTATTGCCAGGGTAATGGAGGCAGTATCAGATTTGAAAAGCTGGAGAGAATTACAATTAGGAGTCCTACCTGTTGAAATTAGACCAAGTGCAAGGCCCCTGTGTTTGTCAAAATACTGGCACGTGATGGTAACTGTCGCAGTGTACAAAAGGCCACATCCAAGACCTGGATGAAAAGAGATATAAAAGATGCTCTATTCACATCCTCTAGGAAGCGAATGCCCCTCTGTTATCCCCCAGGTGATGCCACTGTGTACCCTGGGTTCTGAGGTACCCTTTAATCTTGGCTCAGCACTGTCCCACCTCCCTTCCCTGCCCCTGCTGCTGAGCCTGGGCGGAGCAGGCTGGGTTTGAGAGCTCCCAGCCGAGTTCTGGGCTCTGTGGAAGGGCTGCAGGGCTCCGAGCCCAGGGCTGGCCCCGAGCTGGGCAGAGCTGCCTCGGTGGCACCGTGCCCGGCCAGCACGACGCCGGCCCTGCTGGCCAGAGAGGTGCCCAAATGCCTGACACAGTTAATTTGATAAGCCACCCACAGCAGCACAGAGGGCAGGTCACCACCTGCCAGGAGAGCAGCGTTTTCATGCCTCCAGCACAGCATTTTATGTTCAATCCAGTTCTGTGGAGAACAGCATTGCTCCCTAATGATCTCTCATTTATCAAATTAGAATGAGTATGTGACAAAATTCCAGAAGAGATATTATTCCTTTAAGATTGGCATTTCATACCAGCAGAAGCCCTGCTCAATTCCAGCCCTTAGGTAAAACCTCAGCTTCTCCATCTCTAACAATTGTGTCAACAGAGAACAAACTGTTTTTAAACCCTCATGAACATTTACATTGTTTTTATCTTTTACTACGTGGTAACAGCCTGCCCGTGCAACATCCCTCTCTGCCCAAAAGTAAAGTATTCTTTGATAAACCAAGTCCCAGACTACCACTGCCTCCTGTGAATTAGTTTCCCATTTCATATTCATTAACCAAAACTCAAAATAATGAAGATTAAGTTTCAAAATGAAGAGAACGTGTTTCTTACCAACAACTATCCCATATGTAACATATAGGAAGTATATGTTAGGTGCAAAACTGCTCATCATGAGGCCCCCAGCCACCATGAAGCCACTGAAGATAGCTACTGGTCTTGCTCCAAAGGATGATACACATATACTGCAAACAGGACCTAGAGGGAAAAAACAGGAAAAACATTCCAAGCACCAGGAAGAACTTCTAAAAAAAATCAATCTGTGGAAATGTTTCTTATTATAACTATTTAAATTTCTAATTATATTAGATAAAAATTCAGAGCACTCATTTTCACGGGGTTCTCTGAAGCAGTCAGTTATAAAAATATTCAAGGTCAGACTTGCAAATTTTTTCTCAAGGAGAAACTGAACATCAAGGCCATAAAAGGGTCCTCAGGCTGGGAGAGAAAGAGCAAGTGAAACATTCCTTACACATAAGGAGATCCAAAACATACTGGACTGTAACACTGTCACCACACAACTAAGCTGTACAAAAGTTCTGATAAGAATCTTTATCTTGAAACACAAAACCAAGGCAGACCATCAGCCAGGCCTTAAGCAAGCTGTTATTTTTTGACAGAGCACAAAAACTGTGTTTCAGAAATGCAGTATCTGTATTCATTTTGGTATGTGATTTATAAATCTGGAATGGAAAAACAGTATCTTGGGATCATGGTTGCAGTAAGAATGCCACCTGGTGCTTACACAGAGGGAATATCTGCTGGCATACCAGGCAAGGACAAAGACTCTTCCCCGATTTTAAAATATAATTAAATACCCACTAGTCAGGTGTCCTGCCAAAGAACCCTTTACTACCTATCTCTGCTCCTCTTGTAAAACTACAGAAAATAAAAGTCACCTACTGGGAGTAGCCATAACAACATACAAGTTCACTCCCCAATACTTCTGGGTTCTGAGCTCTCTTAGTCCTTCAAAACAAGAACAAAGTGAGGCAGAATTCATACCCTGCCTCTATTCAGTCAGTTCTCTCCCCATAGAAATTGCAGAACAAGCACTTATTCTCAGCTGTGTGACCTGGAATACACCTTTTAGTCTTAAGTAGCGTGCAAGCTTAGTGCCCTGCATAAATAATCAACCACAAAGGACTTGGCTTGCAAAGACAACTTATCTGAAACCCTGCAGTTCCAAACCTTCATATACAAACTTAGATATTAGCCTCATTTCTAAACTCAGCAACTTTGAGATTAGAAGTCAGATACACAGATGAATGCCATTATTTAATACAAACAAACAAAACCATCTTACAACATCTGCCTCTCGTTGGAAGTGATACACATACATGCCATGGTCGATTCAATCTGCAAAAGGAGCAATTTTGGAGTCTGCCATTTGTCAAGGTTAGTGCTCCCTGAGTCATGTAACAGGTTCCCAGCAGATGGGAGGTGAGCCCAGAAAGGTGATACGAGGTAAACAGTTGGAGCCTGGGGATGGTGCTTGCCTAGGTTTGTAGACAGGAGAGAGCAGCTGGGAATGCAGGCAAGGTTTTCCTGTGGTTGCCAGCCATGGGACAAGCAGTTCAGGCAGGCAGGAGCAGAGATTCGTCAGCAGGTGAAATGATCCTCAAAGACAAGGCAGGCCAGAACTTTTGCCCTACATTAGAGCTTTCTGCCCAGGGAACATAAAGGGGGGGTGAGTCTGAGCTGGGGCTTATCCAGGCAAAGAGTCAGAGTTACAGAGGAATCAAGAAAATATTCCAGGAAAGAAATGTTTAATTGGATTTTGGAAGCAATGAAAAAGGAAGATCTAAGCACTTACTGCTTCTCAAGAGTCAGCACACTGTGGGAATGAAAGCTGGCCAGCATAACCTGGGCAGAGTAACATGCTGAGAACAAAAGCTAAGAACATTGCTGATTCTTAGAATTAATCACTAGAATGGGCAAATTAAGATTGGTATGTTTCTTAAAACCATGGGATTAAAAATAAACAAAGGATTGACCCTTTATTATATAAAGAATTAGTCTACAGTAAAAGAAGGCAGTATGAACGTAACACAATTAAGCAGAGGAATTTGCACTCTTTCTATTCTTTATTTCTGACCTACTACCTGGCTAAAACAAACAGCATTTCCCTTCCACCTGCTCTCTATATTTTGACACAGCTACTTTCAGAAGGTTTCTGTCCAGTCTGGGGTGGTGGTGCTGGTACAGACATCACTGACCCCTCCTAGAGCATCCGAGGGGAAATGGGACCCTCTGACCCCAAGCCAGAACAAGAGAGATACAGAGCTGAAGGACGTGGCTTCACAACCTGACAAGGACATCTCCACTGGATCATGATCAAAAGCCTCCCTGACAAGGCCCAAGGAGATGTTCTTCCAGCCTCTCTGCTTACAAACTCTAATCCCAAAGGAGAACAAAGAATACAAAAAGATCTTTTCCCCCTAACATGGAAAACAACCTGCCCAAAACTGAGGAACCTGCTCCAGTGAGCTCAGTATTAATCTGCCATCTCACACAGCAAGACACCTGGCAACTCAGCAATGGCCCTGTTTATAAGAAGGAGTGCCAGTGTAAATATTAAAATAATTATTATAGGTCTCTGAGTTGAGCAGAGAAACAGATCCATCTTCCCATTCACACTAGGCACGACTTTCACACTCATCACACTGCTACAAAATGAGTCACAAAAGAAAATCCCCTGACAGCCAGCATCTTTGTCCTTTCCTGCCTCCTTACACTGCCTTCCTTTCTCTGTTTCCCATAGCACGGGCATTTTTTTCCCACCAGGCACAGCACCTTCTGTTATCACCATGGTATATGCACAGCAGTTGACTGTACACAAACTTGTTATTCTTTACAAATATCTGAAGCACAATGGGTTCAAGGCAGTAAATTCTAGTAAAAATCCAACTTTCACAGAGTGGGACTGAGACCTACGCTGCGGATTTTACTGAAAGTAGGCATTCTGAAGAATGCAGGAGTCTGCATACAGCCACACAGGAGACAGATCTTCTGTCAGCATAAGGGTTTTCATTAGCTGACTCTCACCATACTGTGAACAACATAAAAAAATCCCAGTGGCAATCCTTAAAAGCAAGCATGAAAAATAGCTTTTAAACCAGCATTCTGTTCAGTTTGCCAGCAGCTCCAGGGGTTAGCACTGGAACTAGCACAATATTTTATGACATTGATAAATATTTACCTCTTTAACAAATAAAATCCCTAGGGCTTTTTCCTTTCCAAATGATGAATCTTAAACCTAGACCAAACTCAATCAAAAAAAGATAGCACCACAGTTTACTGGAATGACAGCTAACTCTAGGAAGAAAAACTCGGCACAGGAACAGACATTGCAACACAATTATCAGGGGAGCAGTCAACAAGATCCCCAGACAAAATGGAAGCAGAAGGAAGATTGATTTTCACAGGAGATCTTCACACAGAGGGACTAAAGAGGAAGAACACCTAGGAGGGATCATTTGTACATTGATATTTTTATTAAGATTATTTTGAATTAAATACTTTACCCTCAGTGAGACCAGGATGTGTCAGTGAGTCCTTCCTGAGATATAAAAACAAACAACCTGCTGAACTCGGGAACTTAAACCTGCAGAAATGTGCTGACCTCCTGACAAGTACAATGTTGTTTTGTTTTATGGACATCAAGAAACTAGCACTTTCTTCCTCAATACTTTCACATAAAGTGAAAAAAAAAAACCTGCAGAACAACACTCCCTCTCTCCACTCACTAATCTCAAGAGTCCTCCTTCCTTCACCTCATATACGAAACCTTTTGCTAAACAAACTATATTGGACAACTGAGTTGTTTGTTTTTTTTTTATCACCTGCATTAATCTGACCCACCCTACCTGGGCATCTGTCCGAGCCTGTTGAAACTGTAGAGCAGAAAAAATGGTCATGGACTGCATGTAAAATCCACTGGACAGAATACAAGAACATGTTTTGCATCTTAAGCACATCTCTAAAACCTGCTTATAATCAATACAATATTCTCCAAATGCCTGTATTTTGGATATAAATATAGATCAGAGAAAAAACCTTTTCACAATAGGCAGAAACCCACCCCCAATTGATTGGAAAGACAGTTCCCTTCTAAAAAAGGTTGTTACATGAACTGAGCTTCTTTTCAGAGGAATCTTGCGGACACCCTTCTCCCCTGTGCACAAGCTATTTACAGTGTCCATACTTCAGAGTGGGGGCTATGGCTGTATGAGGTTTGTGTTCAAAAATATGTAGATGCTACAAAAGCAGTTGTAGAGTAGTAAAATTGTTGCTTGAAAACACAAAATTAAGCTTTTTAAACATCTAGCACTGAATGCCTCAGATCAGCAGAAACATCCCATCAAATTATCAAGGCGTGCCTTCCAAGAGAGAATCCTCCCTTTGCTCTCTCTCCATTAATTAAGGGAAGTAGGAATGGAGACATTGCTGATGTCTCCTCCTATGCCAAAGACTGTGAAGCCAACTCTTACTATAAACAGTTTTGGTGCCAATTATAGGCGCCAAGGTCTTTGTTTTGCTTTAACAAGTGGAACATGGATTAAATTTAATTTCAGGCTTCAAATGGATCCAAAATTAAGAACATTTGGGGAAGAAGAAACACATGATGTTCAAGAGTATATATAAATATCCTCCTCTGGCCTGCTTTAGAGTAAGGGAAACCTACTAAACTTTTTTGATTTCTTCCTGTGGAACAAGCCCTGAGCCATGTGCCCCATCTGCCATAGCCTGGCCAATGTTGTAACACCTAATTCTGCAGGGCAGCTCTCACCTCTGCCTTCTACAGTAACACTGATGCTTGTCTTTCAGTGTTCTAGCACTGCTCTGTAAGGTTTCATCACAGAAAGTCATAAGCCAAGCCATCCTGTGAGGAGGAGCTCAACCAGGTCCCTGCCCCATTCCCCTTGCAGCTGACGAGGTGAAGAGTTCAGCTCAGGCTGGACACTGCCTCAGCAGCACCGCCTGTGCTGCGAGCAGAAGGACAGAAATCAAACACCAGGTGCCCAGGAAATGAATCCAAATAAACAAGGTGATGTACTGGGTTTATATGTCTCCAGTCTAAGTTTAGCTCTCACATAAGTCAGAAGTAAACATTTTAGAAAGGATACCAATGCAGCAAACGTGAAAGTGCTCACCAGCATCACCTTAAAAAAAAGGTTGCTTAAAAAAAACTTTCAGACTACATGAACAGAAGGAAGTGGAGAAGACAGAGAACCTTTTTCTGTGCCAGATGCCATATATATCCTCTTGGGTTTGGTGAAATTACAGTACTAATACAGCAGTCACTGGTCTCTGTTACCAGTTACACTGGTCTCTGTAACTTTCTGTGTTACAGAAGCTGGTGAATGTGATTGCCAGTGCTATCAATGAGAAAAGTCTTCCTAAGACAATGGACCCTGATTTATGTCCTATCTGTGGCTGCTAATCTACAATAATTGTCATTCCTTCTCCAATCTGGCATCTACAGCTTCAGAAAGGTGATGTTAAGTTGAAGAAAGCTCACAAAAGAGTCTTAATGGCTCTCCAGTAGAACCTTAATTAAAAGTGTGGGAGTCTTGGCAAAAAGACTGTATCAAGTTACAGGCTTAAAAAAAAATTAAGAAGTAATTTGATTACATTCTCTAGACATCCATCACACTAATCAAGGGGAACTTCAAAACATACCACTTAAAGATAACATTATTCATCAGCTGAAAACTAAAAACAACTTGTATCATAAGATTGCATACTTTTAAGGAGGAAATTCAGTGGATTTGTCATTAGGGTCAGATCCCAGCTTGACAAACAGTTGCATTTCAGGTAAAGCTGGGAACACAGAATTTGTTTTCAGTCAACTCTGATAACATCAATGTAATTAAAAGACCCTCCCTGTACTTTCTTTTGAAGGCATAAAAGGTAGGAACTTTATTAAGCTTCTGAATGCCAACCTGAAAGAATAAAATCACATGGACAGACAGCATTCCTCCTAACTTGTCAAACCTTCATTAATCATTCCATATCAAATCAGTCACAAGAGCACCTTTGATTTGTATTATTCATCATTGATTTGTATTCTTCATCATTATTATTGCTGCTGTCAGAGTTTAACCCCAGCCACAACCAAGCCCATGCAGCCACAATCTCGCTCCCCCACCAGCAGGAACAGGGAGACTCAGAAGGGTAAAAGGTGGAAAACTCTTGGGCTGACATAAAGGCAGTTTAATAGGGGAAGCAATGCACACTTTGCATGCAGGCAAAACAAGCCAAGGAATTCATTCACTGCTTCCCATGGCAGGGCAGGTGTTCAGCCATCTCCAGCACAGCAGGGCCCCATCACGTGTGATGGTGACTCGGAAAGACAAATGCCATCTCTGAGAAGATCCCCCCATTCCTCCTTCTGCCCCCAGTTTGTTTACTGAGTGTGATGTCCCACGGCATGGAGCATCCCTTTGGCCAGCTGGGGTCACCTGTCCTGAGTGTATCTCCTCCTGACTCCCTGTGCACCCCCAGCCTCCTCACCAGCCCGGCAGCAGGAGCAGCAGAAAAGACCTTGTCTCTGTTAACCCTGCTCACCAGTAAGAAAAACATCTCTACATTATCAACCCTGTATTCAGCACATATCCAAAACACAGCCACTGAGAAGAAAATGAACTCTAGCCCAGCCAAAAACCAGCACAGCTACAAAGCATGCTGCTGAGAATTGCTCACAGTAGCAAGACAGAGGGCACTAAAATCTGGAAACTAGCACGGTGTTGACATAAGGGAAAGGGAACCGAGGCTCTTAACAAAGCCAGAGACTTCTGGTCTCCTATGAGAGGGTGTTCTCTTGAAATTTCCTTCTGCCTAGTTTTTCCTAGAGTGATTACCTTGTTTGTCATTATTTTCTTCCCATTTCACTCTTTCACTCAAGTATATTTAGGTCTTGATGAATAGCAGGAGTTAATACCCATAACACAGGAAATGAAAAAAGGATGATGGAAGAGCAATCTACAGTCCTCTATCCAATAACACCCTGAGACTGAATATAGTCTTCTTGTGCTTAGTGATCTACCTGCCTCTGCCCATTTCTCTTCTGCCTGGAGGTAAAAACCCCTAACACAGGTGTGAGACCAGTATTTGATCAGTTCCAGGGCCATACAAAGCACTGTTCTTTATTCAGGTCTGTATTGCTATTGGAACATCAACTTTCTTTTGAGGAGACTTTCCTCGGGATTCTGAGCCACATTTTGTCCATTAAACCACATTATTGCTTTTGCTTGTAGCAGCTGCCCTGCTGAGAAGAAATTTTTTCCCGATTCTGCAAATAGATAATAGTTCCCATGGTGAATCTTTGAAAAACAGAAGTTAGTGATACAACCCAGTAAATACCATGCCTGATATTAAAACACCAACCTAGGAATTTTCAAGGTGGGGTTTTATTTCCCTAAAATTCTGCTGTTACTCTCCAAGTGACAATGTCTTACTACAGAAAAGCTTCCAGTAAAGTTGCTTTATTTAATGCTACTGTTACCCATAAGTTTCCAGCCTTCAAAGAGAGTTTTTTTCTCAAATAGAGAATGCAAAGGAGCCCTCACCTACCCTCACTGGTAGGTTTACTGTTAGAGCTGAAAACTTAGTAACTAGTTTATTAACTTTCTTTCCATAAACCATTTCAGACTAACAGCTTGCTCTGATTTTAAGACAATAATGTAAATGTTAGTTTTAAAGTCTCATTAAAAAAAAAAATGCATCAACAAAATTACTGTTCAGCTTCTCAAGAGTGTGGCTTTTCTACTTTATTCAAATACAATAATTTTGAATTTTCTAAAGGGAATATTATTATTGCTCATTTATCATGATAGTGCTCTGGTTTATGCAGAATGAAACTATAAATGTTATCTTCTTACCCACCCTGACCTAAAACAAAAATGCAGCACCCTCATTTGCACCTATCTTTGATACAATTCCAAGAGCACACAGAGACAAAAGCATCAATTGGAAATGTTTCAGTTTAAGACAGATACTGCTTCTGCACTTACTGGCAAGCAATCCAATTCCATTGGCCAGTGATCCAACCCAAGCAGTCTTGCCTTTCCCTTCTCCAAAAGCATCCAGCCACTCTAAATACAAGACTCCCACCGCCAGCGGTGATCCATAGCACAGGAACTGGGTGAAGAAGGAAACCACAACAATCACCCAGCCCCAGCCACCATCTGGTGGCTTCCGAAATACCATCTTGGCAGCTGGGTGCAGAGGCAGGGGCAGCACCTGTGCAAACAAAACCCAAAGAGAACAGAGTGTTAGAAACAGCCTGACCAGGGGCTGTGAGCACAGGGGAGCTGTGCAGAGCGGTCACGTTCAGCCAGGGGCTGGCTCAGCCCCCCTGCATGAACAGCACAGCTCGCAGTGCGGACACTGGAACTGCCAAACTGCACCTCTGCTGGCTAACAGAAAGACAGCACCTAAAGCATAGTAAGTTGTACAGACACAAGCATTGTATGAGAGAAAAACATTTCATTTGCTGAGCTCTAAATAAGCCTTGTGAAACCTTCAGACAATAATATCTGCCACGGTTCAATAAAAGAGCCCCGTGGTCACCTGCTGTTAAAACCATGGACCTCAAAAAAGGAGCAAAAAATTTATACTCAGTTCCAATCTCAGCACAGTATCTTTCCAGTTGCTAAGGTGTTTGCCACCAGATAGTGCACTCTGAGAGGGGCAGATCAAGAGGAAGACTGACATTTAGTATTAAGAGTTAAGTACTCTGCTTTGTCAACAAAGCTATGTGTAGAGAGCTGCATCCAAAAATCACTTTGAATATATTAGTGAAGCGAGCTCTAAGGCTGTGTGCAGGCGTGGCTCATATGCCAAGACATGACAGCAGCAAACATGCATACAAAAATCTGCTATAACCTGTTAGAGTGTCTGCCCTCTGTGCAGCTGGCACACATCAGCCTTCCCCAAACTGGCAATCACTGCCTGGACTCCAGAAATACCACCTGGCTCCTGTGCATGGCACAGTCCATCACCTGTGTATCTATGGCTTTAAATAACCCACCACCCTCACATCTCAAGACTAGTGTGTGAATGTAGGGATCAATACTTCTAATATCCAGCAAATTTAGAGGTTTTCCAAGCTACATTGCTCTGGAGTCTCCCTGTGCACACAGCCAGCCAGCCCTCCCTCTCTACAGGGAGCAATCTGCCCAAGTGATGAATACAAAACACAAGCTCTGCTCCTGGCTCTGCCACTAACCAGATATATGATTCTCAATAGTTTCATTTCCTTCACCCTGGAAGATAGAAAGAGGTGAGACCTTACCCTGTTTTCTTCATGAAATAGTCTCAAGGACCATCTCCACACTGCAGCTTAAGAATTAAGACTGCTGCAGTAACAGCTCTGCTCTGGGGGACTCCCAAGAGGCAAAGCAGAAAAAGAAATGCATTACACTGCCTTTTTGACTTCGGAACCCAGAGGAAATGGGAAAAAAAAAAAAATTACTGCTGTATGAAAGCAATGAGGAAAACAAGAAGACAATACAGAATTCCCATTTGAGACCCTCACACCCTTTTATTGGGCAATTTTTAAAAATTTGCATGGAAAATTTACAAAAACATTATAGTACAAAATTTTGTGGAATTGTATAGAGACATGAAAAAGGACAGTTCTAGTTTACAAATGCACTTAAATACTACTTTGAGGGTAGATACTCACAGATGATGGCAAAAATCTGTCAGCTTCCTATAAATGTACCTTCATGTGACAACCACCTGCAGAAAAAGAGCAAAGCAAGTTTTCAGCCAACATATCACTGCAACAGTTAACACAACTGAAAAAAAATGGTGACTTCACATGAAATTTCTTCTTTTTAAAATCTTCTCAGAGGAACTTCAGAAGCAAACAAGTTATCTCAGTGGAGAAGTACTGATTTCCTGCAATTAATTAACATCTGACAGCAGTCTTGAGCCCTCAAATAACAAAAACATCGCCTACTAATGTAAAATACATCCTGGGTCCTTTGGGAGTGATTTACAATTTTAATATACTGACTGTCCTTGAAGATACAACATTCCCAGTTACAAATGTTACAAAATTATTTGTTTCAGCTTATAAATGTAAGCTCTGACTCACTCCATTGCCTGATCCTGTGAGATACAAGGGTGGCAGCTGGGATAGACAGAAGTCATAGGAACTTTCCTGTAACAATACCTTTTACACAAAAAGGGATCCCTGTATTTCTACATGAAATATTTGAGTTATTTGAATGCAGTCCCCAAGAGCTGACCTATGCATCTGTCCATGAATTAAGTCACTCACTTGGCTTGTTTTGTCCCTGCCTAGAGGAAAAAATAATGGAAATAAGGTAGTAGCTTTAAAAGCAGACAATGAGACAAAGCAAGGAAGTTTTCAGAAAAACTACAATAATGGAGGTAGACAGTGAATAGCCCCAACTCATATTTGTTTAAAAATAAACTTTAGAAAACAAACAAATTCGGTTTCCATTATATTGATGCCCTAAAATTTAGCACAAAGACAACTCTTGAGTTCAGTTCTGCTATTCTAAACATTTCATGGCAAGGGAACAAGGACTGGACAGGAGAGAAAAAACTTTTTGTAGTCTTAGGTCATGTATTCTCTTCTAATAGAAAGACTAAAAACCTCTGGATTAGTTTTTCACCTGTTGCAATGCTGCAGAGTATAACTGAACTTAACCAACTGTAAAAATTTACAGCAGTAAGAGTACTGACCTTCTACATACTGACAACTCCTATTTTGTATCTCAGATCTCTTTTGCATCTTTTAGCTAAATAACAAAACTTTAGGTAGCAACAATCTCTATTCTCTGAATGTTCCAAGCCATTTACAGTCCGCAACTGTAAAGCAAAAAGTAAAAAACGCCATAATTTCCCCCAAAATAATCCTCAGAGGAATAACAGATCTATAAAATCACAGAGTTGGGTTTTAATGCCCTGGCTTTCCCTTCCCTTCTCCTCTCTTTCCTTCCCCTCCTGTTGTTGCAGGTTATTCCTTCACCTCACACTGCTGTGTGCCTGATACCTAAACTGAGGTATTTTCTAACTCCCCTGAAGGCTCAAGGCCACAGGGAGCAGGGAGCTGCCAGACCTGCACAAGGAGCCTATTCCCCAGAGCCTTCTGCTATGATAGTTAAAGATGTCCTGGACAACCAAGTCACTGCTGGGATCGTGGATATCAATCAGCTTCCCATTGGAACACTATTTAATGCTCCTCCAAAAGGGGCAAGTTGTACTGTAATAGCTTAGTAGCAGGGAAAAGAACTGACAGTGAGAATTAAACCTTCACTTTCATGGACATCAAATCTGTGCATCGACTTGGGGGAGATCCAAAGTGCCTTTTACTATTTTCTGTCTGTGTAGAAGGGGGACACAAGCTGTAAAAGATAAATGTGGACACCAAAAATGAAGAAGCAGAAGCCCACAGAGTGAGGGGAGTCAATAGTTTTGGGTTTTTTTCTCAGAACCAACCAGGAAGACTTGTGTGATCCTGGTAACAGATAAACAACTGTTTAAGATTCAGGATTCAGGTGGGAACAGTTTCACAAACCTTTCTGTTCACTAAGCCTAGGGATATTGTTTCAGACTCCAGGAAACCAAATTAAATAAAAATACTGAAAAAGAGACATGAAGCATAAAGAATTGAATAGTAACTTGAAATTTGGTGAGAAAAAGCTTTTCAGTGAGTTGTACTCACTGTGAATAAGAATCAGAGGAAGAGAGCTGCTTGATGAAAGCCTTTACCAACCACAACAAAAAGAAACCCTAGAGAACAAACTGAACAACAGTTTCAATGTGGAAAGAGAGAAGTGTCTGGCTGCAACTATTTGCTTTGCTCTGAGCACCATTATCACAACACTGAACTCCCTTCCTATAAATCTTAGAATTTGGCTTAAAGATGACAGATGAGCGCAAAAAAAGAACATGAGTACCACTGAAACATTAGCCCTCAGCACAGCAACTTGTATTAATCTGTGGCAAGAGGGACTCTTGAGAAAGACAGTAGCAATGTGATTGTTTCCAGTTTGTTCTTTGTGCAGCCAGAGCCCGGGTAAGTGTGTTGCTTTCTGCGAGCAGCACAGGGCTGCAAAGAAAGCTGATGTCAGCAGACACACTGCGTGATTAACACTGGGCTCGTCAAGTTTTGCAAGGCACTGTTACAAATCAAGACGGTACCAGCCAGAAAAGTAACATCCCTCATTTTAAGCTGAATCAGACTTCTTGTGAATTTCTGGTTATTTTTCAGGCAAGTTCTTGCAACTCTCATCTGAAATTCCTGCTACCCTTAGCTTGCAAGTAACACCTAGAGCATGAGATTGGTGCACTATGGTTGCTTTTAACATGCTCATTATTTCCAAACACCTGCACGTGTACTGACGCAACAGCACAGGCATTGTATTAAATTCACCGGAAGATGCATCTGTACTTCCACGACATCAGACTTAACTGATGTTCTGACCATAGTAGCTCTTGTGTGACACTGAATATATATGTATATACATATATATTTCTCTTCTAACTCTCAATATTTAGGTCTGCCTATTTCTTACATTTCTCTACTTGCCCTTCTGTCAGCTAAGCAAGAGAGCCGTCAATATCAATGTTTCCTTCTATTTCTCATGGATGACAGAAGTGTGAAATTTAAATCAAAACAAAACACCAGAATAAAACCTAACAACAACATAATGTTTTTCCATTGTGCAAAATTAGTTTACATTAAGAAGCATCAGTGGGGCAGCACATAAACCAGTCAGCTCTGTACAAATCTGTCAGCTCAGCAGAACCAGTCCTACCTGTTTCCAGAGCCTCACTGCTCCAGAGCGGATGGAAACCCCCCCGAAAGCACAACTTTAGTGCCTGTCGGTCACTAGCACACATCCATGTAGGCAGATGTGAGCCGGCGCTGCTACAAACCACCAGCCAACATGATTTACCAGAGATCTTCTCTGCAAAACGAGAGCACGATGCGCGCCGCCTTACGCATCACAACCTGCGAGGGTTCGCTTCAGCATCTGCTCCCTCAGTCCGTGCGTGCCCCTTGGGCGGGGGCTCCGTGGGGATGGATGGCCTCTTATAGCCCCCGGCTCGCCTGGCCTCTCCCCACGCCCTCGTGGGCCAGCCCCCAGCCCCGCGTTACACATTGACGCCTTGCAGCTCCAGGCCGGTTTCCACGGGAAGCGCTGATCCGCGCAGTGACGCGCACCGGGAGGTGACTGAAGGTCGCCCTCGCCGTCCCGACACCACCGCACACGGCCGAGCCGCGGCGCCCCGCTCGGGGCAGCCGCAATGGGCACACGCGGAGTTCGTGCCACGCACTGATGGCGACGGGCGCTCGCTGCCATGTGCCCGAGGCAGGTGCCGATATCGCACACCGCCCGGAGCCCACCGGATGGCAACGGGACACGCCGGGAGGCACCACAGCCAACACCGAGGGGTGGTCGTCGATGGGCACCGCAAGGGATGCGCTCGCCCCGGGTCGGCGGCGCGATCCGCTCCTGTTGCCTTTCCCAAAGCCGCTCCCAGGAGACCGCGCAGAGCCGCCCCCGGGGCCCCGGCCCGGACCTGCCGCCCCCCCCGCCCCAGCCCCGGCCCCTGCGGGGGCTCTGTCCGCCCGCCCCGCCCCGCGCCCCCCGCCCGAAGCGCGGTCCCGGCCCCGTTACCTGCGGGCGGGCGGGCGGCCCGTGGGGCGGGGGCCCGGAGCCGCCCCCGGGCAGCGGGGCAGCCCCGCATCGCGGCGGGCGGGCGGGCCGCGGCCGGCACGAACCGGTTCTAACTCGGGCGGGGGAGGAGCTGCCGGGGGCCGCCGCCGTCTCCGCCCGCAGCCCCGGCGAGGGGGCTGCCCCGACCCCCGCCCCTCGGGCAGGCGGGGACTCACCTCGCCGCGGAACGCTGCCCTGCCCCGCTCTGCTCCGCGGGCAGAACCCGCCCCGCCGCCTCCCCCTGCCCGGCTGTCGCCGGGGACAGGCGGACACGCGTCCCCGGCCGACGGTCGTGCCCAGCCCGGGCCGGGCGGCCGCAGCGGAGCCGTGCGGGAGCCGCCGCCGTGCCCCGAGCAGCGGCGGGGGAGCGGGGCTCGCCGCCGTGCCCCTGCCCGTCCCCAGCGAGGGCCTGGCCCCAGGCACGGTGACCCCACCGCCTTTCCCCGTCCCCAGCGAGGGCCTGGCCCCAGGCACGGTGACCCCACCGCCATCCCCCGTCCCCCGCTCCCTCCCCAGGCAGCGCAGGGCCGGTTCCCTCGGGCACTCCGCCGCGGTGCCCGAGGCAGCGGAACGGCCGCAGGACGGGGATGGGCGCTGGCTCCCGCCACCGGCCGTGCCAAAAGGCCGCAAACCTGCGCTGCAGACAGCGATGCAGGCAGCGCACCTGCAGCACTGCCACCCCGGCCTGCCCGCTCGGGGAGAGACAACTCACTCGTGTATCGGCGCACCCACTGCCCGCAGAGGCCGTCTCATCGCAGCCCTGGCCCGGATCCGTGTGCATGGCACGTCCCGCGCTGTCAGACGCACGGCAAGGTAGTTGTAAAGTTCAGCCACCTGCAATATTCACCCTGCAGACTGCAAAGGCTGTCGCAGAAGCTGACTGAACACTCAGCAAGCCTCTATCCCGGGCGTGTTCAGCGTGACAGCTCTGCTGCTACCTTTACCCAATTAGAGCTCAGGTAACCACACACTGCAGGTGGAAATATAAACATTCCCAGAGTTAAGTGACATTTTGAGAGCTGAAATATTCCTAGACCTTAAATTCTGATGCAATCTCAGATGTTCACAGCCTCTGCAGTTCCTACAGGTATGGCATCGCTCCCATTTTCAGACCTGCAGTCCAGACTTACTCCTTCATGCAATATTTACAAAGGTTTGTGAACTTCAAATGTCTTTGAAAGCTTCTTGATCCACACCTCACAGTATTCAGGTAAATATCAAAATTAAGACTTGTTACTGGAAGGACTGACAGAAGAATGACATAAACCCAAGCCTCACTTCTAAGACATCTCAGCTGGCGTTGGGTTGTGTTGCGTATCTCGTGTCGAAAAGGGCAGCCAACTGAAGGGGGGGAGAGGGGGAAGAAAGGAGAACAGGAACTCCCAGAGCTCTAGAAAACTGTTCCAGGGAGGAGAACTGAAATAAATGGCATTTAACCTAGAGAGAAGGAAGAGGGGAAACATAATAGAACTTCAAGAACTGTAAGAGACTACTGTGAAGCAAAAGGAATGACATGTTCTAAGTATGCATTAGACAAGTGAAAGAGGTCAGTAGGCTTAAATTCCATCCCCAAGTAACTGCTACAGATATTAGGGAAAGCTAGGCTAGCTTGTGCTTGCAGAGATTTCTTTGGGAAGTGCAGCATTTTGGGATCACATGTGCTGGAGCTGCTGAAACAAATGACTGAAGACAGCTGCCCAGACAGTAAACAGCCACTGTTTACTTTGATTGCTTCTTGGGCTTCAGCACAGGCTGAAATTGAAAGGGTAACCAAAATCTTTCCATAGCCACACACAAGAGATGGCTGGGAAACAGCAATTCTGAATTATCTGTCCAAGATGTGCCGATTCCTTCAATCAAAGCCTCACTTCAATAAAAAACCTTTTTGCAAATAAGTGCATATAAAGCTCCAGTTCCCATTACAGTCCTTGATACAGAAGCTTAAAAAACAATATTGTGGGCTAAAATTAAATACTTCACTCTTGCAAAATTGGTTCATGAGCATCTGAAAAAATCAGTGTATTCATAAGTTCACAATGGTTTAGCTGGACAGGAATATCCAGAAGAGTTAAGGCACGTCAGTGACAGGAGTACATTGACACACACTGGATCCTTATGCAGGGGAAGCAAGCCCAGTCAGATGTAAACCAAACTGAGTTCAGATCACAGGCAGCTTTGGACCGGAACAAGAAACTCCACTTGAGAATAAATATGCACTTTAAGTGAATATATATTGACCCTAATTGCTTTACTCTGACTTCTCTGAATGTCCTCCTGATGACAAGTCCCCTGTTTTAATTAAACCCATTCTTAATATGAACATGCCAGTCAAGTGCATACCATAATTTTGAGAGGCCAGCCTTGCTGGCAAGAAACAGAACTGGGAAAACAAGCCACAGAAAAACAAGGTTAGAGGAAACAGTCCCTCCTCCATGTCTCCTTTGTCCCTGGTTTCATAACAAGGAATCCAGCTCTCTGATCAACTCTAGGTTTCTGCTCACTTGGCCTACAGTATTTTGGCAACTGCCATTTGGGTTAGATGTCACATCACTGGTTAATCTTCTCATTTCTTCCCTTTGGAAACCCCTCCCACATGGCCTTCCAAGGCCCAGTGAATTGTAACAGTGCCATAGCTGCACTGTTCATAACCACACTTTAATCACACACATCACCAGAATTCTTAAATTCTCACTTTAAAATAGAAAATTAAGTAAAACAGTGAATAATTGCTATAAGACACTTTCCCCCTCAGCCTGTGGGGCCTAAGAATTGAAAGGATAAAAGTACTTGTGTAGTATGACCAGGGATGAGAGCAGCACCTAGTTAAATTTTACCTGATTTTTGGTACACCATGGTTGCAGGATGTGCTGTTCTGGGTCACTCACAGCTGTACCAGTGAACAGATGACGGAGGAATGTTCTCTACTTCACAGCCAGTGCACTAGCAGCAGCTCCTGAAGGTACAGAGAGGAGAATTAGAGGGTATTCAAACAGCCATCCTGGTCCTTCCCAGCAAGGAATGTAGCTGGTGCTGAACACCCTAAATCTGATCAAAAGGATTATCACTCTGGGTAAAGAGGCAGCAGGTTTGGGGGGTTTTGGTTGAGGTTTTTATGTTTGTTTTTTTGCTTGCTTGATTTTAAAGAAGGTCCAGATTCTGCAATGGAGGAAAATCTCAAAACATAACCTAATTCTAAATATTTGATCAGTTGTTGTTCTTTAAACTGTGGTCCAGGCTGGGGAGCATCCTTTTGTATCTCTGCAGTCCTTATGCAACCAGCGTAGGAGGAGAGAGTCTGGAGTGAAAGGGTAAGGCAAACATGTGCAAAGTCCATTTTAGGTGTTTTGTTAACTTGCTTGTGGAAAATGTCCATTAATGATTGAAGGGGGAACAAGGTGAGGGGAATAATCAGTAGTTTGACTGGAGTTTAATCTAAGCAGACATATTAAATATTGATGCACTCACAGAGTCTAAAGGACACTCACTTGTCTTCAGCAGCCGGAGAAGACAACACTTCTGAAGTTATAAATTAACTCTTCATGTGAGAGGTGAGAAGCATGAAGCTTGTCAAGTGCTATTTGACCACTTAAAGCAGGGTCACTACACCTTCTCTCAGATTTGTGTGAAAGGGAACAAGACTCTTTCAGCTGCAAAGAACACAGATTTCCTAGGAGATGCCAATAAAGCACCACAAAGCTCCCTGGCGCCATCACAATTACTCTGACAAGGAATATTGCCTACTTTGTCTGGGAAGAAGCAGATATAGCGGCAGAATTGTCCCTCCCACAGTCTGGCTGTCACTGATAACATTAAATCCAAGGTTTCCACCACCATCCTCTGCAGAGCTGTCCTAACACGGGCAAGGCCCGAAGTCTGTGCTCAGGTGAGCTGTGTCCCCAGTCTGTCTCACAAACCAGCCAGCTGCACACAAGGGAGATGGAGAGGAGCCCTGCACAGGAGCACGTGGTGACAAGACCAGGGGGAATGACTTCAAACTGAAAGAGGGGAGGTGTATAATAGATAACAGGAAAAAAGTCTTTACTGTGAGGGTGGTGAGGCCCTGGCACAGGTTGCCCTGGGAAGTTGCGGATGCCTCATCCCTGGAAGTGTTCAAGGCCAGTCTGGATGGAGCCCTGAAAAACCTCGTGTAGTGGAAGGTGTCCATGCCCACAGCAGGGGAGCTGGCACTAGACGATCTACAAGGTTCCTTCCAATCCAAACCATCCTAGGATTCAAATGCTGCTTTATGAATCAGTTTCCCATATTAGTCTTCGAGTCTACATATATGCAAAATAAACCTCATATGGAAAGCTTGTAAGAAAAGAAAAGCAGCAGTCATCTAGCTTTGAAAAACTGTA